TGTAAATTTGGGAAAGTTTTTATTGATTTGCCAAAAAATTTAATTTTGGCACTTAGATCACTTTGCCTCGCCACGCCTCATTTATAATTTTGCTGAAATTATTGATACACACTACAAATTAATTATCTAATTTGGTTATTTATACATCCCATTAACATAATAAATTTTATTACTTTACTGAGAAAAAATTGTATCGAATAATTAATTAATTGTATAAATATATTTATACAATTGACTGTGCATATACACACTCAATTACTCTTTGTGATATCTATGTGAACTAATTTGCGATGTGCTTAGAATACTCGCATTTGTGACATGGCTAAGACTTATCTATATCGTCTATGCGTGTACTTTTTAATTATCTAAAGAAGTCCCAATGCAACGTCACATAGATTTCGGTTTTGTTACATCGCATGCAAAAACATCACAAGTCGGGTTATTAAGGATCGCCAGTACTTCTCAACAACTAACATAGGCATTAGAATGTAACATCACACTTCTCGAAGTGATATCACTGCGACATCTCCGAGATGAATATTTGTATATATATATATATATACAAATAATGAATAAAAAATTATTATTAGCAAAATTACATTTCATTTTACAATAGTAGTTAATAAATAATAATTATTTACAATGAGTAAAATGAATCATTATTCACATTTTTGTAAAACAATAGTTCATTGTTATTTCATATTTTATATTAATCTAGCTAAGATAACTATTAAGGCGTATTTAGAAGGCACTCAACGATTATGCCTTGTGAGTTGTAATTTGCGTTCCACAAACTTCAACATACCCCCACATAAATAAAAAAAACTGACTAATGATACTTTTATTATATGGTAGATACTTCAGGAACACATTCAGTTGTAGCAGAACTTGGTCAACTGATGTTGCCAAACATATAGAATGCGACAAAGCCTATTAAGCTATTTTTTCATAGAGGGAGGCGAGTATCGAATCTATGTGGTGTTGGTGCAATCGTCGTACTATCCATTCCATCACTCTATCCCTTTATAAACAGCTACATGAAAAAATATATACACTTATAAACTGAAATTATGCTATATTAACGATAACATTAATACAATGACATTGTTTACATAAATAAAATTAAAAATTTGTGTATAAAATATAAATATAAATTGAATGCTATTAGTATTGAAAATTATTTTACTTTAATTATAAAAAAACAGACCCAATGTAGACTGTATCAAGAACAAGCAAATCTTGATGAAGGTCTTGAAATCTAACTACTTAACCCAACCCGTAGTTATCTTATGTTGATATTTTTTAAATAGAAAACCAGTATACATTTCGTAATATAATACATCTTTATGACTTGTGTGTACTAATGATTATTGAGATCTAATAGGATATTGGCAAATGTAGATGTTTTCCTTTTTGTTTATGGTAAACAATTAAGATTAATCAAAAAGTTTTAACCTAATATAATGTGGTGAAATTCGAAATAAATATTATTACATATATAAATTGTTTAATTTTTTATGATTATAGTATATGTAATTACTAATAATAATATTTATTATAAATTGACAATAATTTAATGAACGAAAAATTTTTTACACTATGTATACATAAAATATGATACTATTAATACGTTTAGTTGTGAGATTATAAATATTAAAAATTATTATTGTTTTAAATAAAATTAACTAAATGTAAATTAAATAAAGTGTATGTTTATTTACAGTCAAATATCTAATATAATTGTAAAATATATTTACATGAAATCTATAGTAAAATTATTCGTGTCCGACTGTCCCTTATACACTATGAATAACCAATCAGAGCAAGATGAACGACAATGCAATAATTTATTTATAGGATTTATTTATAGGTGGAGTACATTAATTGAGAAATAAATAATTCGAACGCAAAATAAATGAGTATATTTCTTCGATTACATAAAATATACAATAAAAATGTAGTGTTTTATTTAAATTTGGAACTGATAGAGTCAGAATGTCACTTAAAACATAAATTGTTATTTATTAATATTTTTTTGCAAGACATAATTACTTATTTTATATTTATCGTTATAATTCAATCCAAGATTAGTATAATAGATTGTAATAATTTCATCGACACTATTCAGAATAGTTTCATGCAAAAAAACAAAAAATGTGAATTCTTCTTTGGATTTTTCATCTGGCTTTTCATTTAATTTTTCATCATACTGATCCTTTAATTTATGTTGTACAAACTCAAGAGTATCACCCTCAAACATGTCTATAATATCACAACAGTCCAATAATATAGATTCTGACTCATCACTTAAAAATTCATTTATCAATTCGTCAAATGTGTCGAATGTAATCTTCAAATTAGAATTATTAAACGCACTTTTGACTTTTGGTTTATTAGATTTTATGTTAAAGACAGCCAATAATTTAATGAGTTTATTCGTAACTCTTGTTTTATGATTCTTTATTATTGTGTTCATAAATTTTAATGCGCTATGAAATAGTGTTAATACCCTCTTTACTTTTTCGATATTAAGTTAATATGAATATTTCCAAACGTTCTTTTTGAGTCTCGAACGAATCCTCACCATTATTATACCATTCTTCGTTCATAATAGTTAACGTGCTACCAATCCAGTGTACAATTTTTGCGTACTCATAAGTTAACAATTGCGAACCTACTATTATTTGGTCATATACATTATCTATGGTAACAATATTCTCACTGTTGGAATCAGTTATGAGTAAATTTTTTGTAACAAAGGATGTATCAATTTCGGTATCATACCACTTGTATGCGTGTTTGAATGTCCATTTTTGTGACTTAAGAAATGAATTCAATATATTAATAGCCTTCTTCTTGCTACACGATGTCAATAAAAACACATCGAACAAGATGAACGATAATGCTACAATAGTGAACGATTTCATATTATTTGTAAAAACAATTAACAAAGTTCAATAGTAAAATTTTTATTTTTCTTAGGGAACTATCAAAAATTATACTATTTAACTATTTTGAACTGTAAATAAGAGTTTTAAAATCTTTAATCATGTATCATTTGATGTCACTTCAATGTATTTGCTATAGTTAATAAATTTATATGATTTATTTTTTTGTTTATGAACATTTAACGCTGAGTATTTTTTTATCAATCTAAAAAAAAAATTAATTTCAATATCTATTTACTACATTTGACTAATATAATGATATTTACTTATGATATGAATTTTCACCTTTTAGCATTTTATATTTTTGATCTATAAATAATTAATAAGTATTCAAATATATTATTTGGATAAAAAAATAGCTGTAGATAAATATTAAGGATATATTTCAAATGTACATTTCATGTTAACTGACATTATAAGTACTATAAATAATTATTTGAATTAAATATTTTCTGCATCATTTCAGTATATTTTTAACCAAATTCTAGATATTTTTTGTATGATTTATATTCTTAAGATAAATGATTCTTTTAATGTATTTACTGTAGTATAATAATAAATTTATATGATTTATACTTGGACATTGAGCATTTTTTTTTTTAACGATTAAAATAATTTACCGCAATGCTTATTTGCTACATTTTGAAATTTACTACAAATCATATTTTTACACTATTTTAAGAATAATATAGTATTATTAGTATTCACTTAAAATATTTGTTTGCCCATAATGCATGAATTTTGCAAGTATTATAAGTTGTATTAATAGAATATAAAACTGAATTTTATATATTCTAGTTAACTTAAGGTTAAGAATACCATTAAATAAAAAAACCCAGCACAGGTGGGTCGCGGCACAGTGGTGACGAGGCATAGTTGGATCAAGTATAATGATATCTGACAGTGATTAAAATCACTATCAAAAAAAAACGCTTCGATGCAAATCTTTAGATAGTGTTTAATTTTAAAAAATTGGTGGATTATTCCAAAAGCTTCATAAACTGCTAGTTCCTTATTAATATCCTGATTAAGATAAAGTATGTCGAATGAAAAAGGGATTATTAAAAAATAGTATTTCCCATAAAAAAATTATATTGATCAATACACTTTTCAATAAGTTATAGCATTATAAAGTTAAAAATGTAAAAAATAAAATTGAGAATTTTCACACAATACTAGCATTTGGTAGCCATTTTCACCGTGAAGACAAAATAAAGTCCGAAATTTTTTTTTTTCACGATAAAGCATATTACATTAGCTTTAATTTAAGATATATATAAAAGTGTCAGACTTTCGGGAACAGTTTCAAAATTTAAGTTGAAAAAGTAAATTTTTTGTGAAAAAGTTGTCATTTTAAATCCCCTCCTGTGGGCAGGTAAAGGGTCAAATTTACAAAAAAAATATACCAAATGATGGGTAAAGACATCAACCATCTATATAAAAAAAATTATATTGATATGTTCATTTTTAAAAAAGTTATGGCAGTTTTTAGTAAAAAAAATTGAAAAAATTTCGAAAATTAGCGATTTTTAAATTTGTAATTTTTTTGGAG